TTTAGAACATTTTTATATTTGTCTGATTCCCCTGGCTGTTGTAAGAGAAACAGCAGACTGCAATAAACTACTACATCTATCCAAAGTGGAACTTTAGAGTGACCTTTTTGATATGCAAATCTAGACACACCATTTTCCTATTTAAATCCTTTAATGACTCCCAATTACCTTCAAGATAAAAATCAGAATCTTTAAAAGACTTTATGAAGCCTTCTAAGAGAAGACCCTTGTTTGAATGTGCCATATTCTCTCATATGCCTAGACCTTTGTATCATTGCCTGTTCTTACTGGAATGTACCTCCTTCATGATCCTCTCTTAAGTAAGTCTTACTTGCCCTTCAGAACCCAGGTCAGTCCCTCCTTCTTCAGGAAGGTCATTTAGAACACACAAGACTTATTTAGGGGTTCTTGCCCAAATTCTCTTGTCCAACTGCATTGTGTTTATCTGTTTACTATGCTGCATTCCCTGCTAAATTCTTATCTCCTCTGATGATTGGGAAAATATTCTATTCATCATCAGAGGAACTTTTGACAGTAGAGTTTAGCAGCATGGACCCTGGAGCCAAACTGCCTGGGTTCAAACGTTAGCTCTGTTTCTTTCTAGCAGTGTAGCCTTGGCAAGGTTTTGAATCCTAGAATCTCCAGTTTAAGAGGAAATAGCAAAAGTGTTTATCTAGTAGGGTTGAGTTGGTCAAAAAGGGAGTAAACCCTGGGAAACAGACAGACTGTCCCATGCAATAACAGAGTGCCATAGAAAAAGAACCATAGCAAGTAAAAACAATGTCAGAGAAAGAAGAAGGGGGAGGAGAAAGAGGCAGGAATTATTGACTTATACCATCCTCCCACATTTTAGATAGACAGATGGGGGGGTCCTTATAATGTAAGGTAACTCCAATCAGGGTTTTATCCCCACCATTCTACCAAAATTATTCTTGAATACCACCTCTGCAATGGTAAATTCAACAGTCAATTCTCAGTCCTCACCTTATGAACCTATCAGCAACATTTGACCCAAACGATCATTCATTCCGCCTCTCTCTACTTGGCTTCAAGGATACTGTATTCTCTTGGCTTTCCTCTTGTCTCACTATTTTCCACACTATTTGTCTCCCTTGCTAGTTTCCCGTCTACCCCCTGACCTCAACGCCTGCAGAACCCATGGCTCAGTCCTTGGTGCTCCCTGTTGTCTTCTTACTCAATCTTATGATGACCTCATTTGATTCTTAGCTTTAAATACTATCTATATGCCAAAGACTCAAAAATACCTCTCCATTCCAGACCTCTCTACTGAACTCCAGGCTTGTATATCAAATTGCCTACTTTATATCTCCCCCTGGATCTCAAATACATACCTCTAACTTAACATGTCCAAAACTGAACTTATGTTTCCCCAAACCTCCGCCCACAGCCTTCCCCATTTCACTTGATAATATATACAGCCTTGTAGTAGTTCTGACCAAAATCCATGTAGTAGGTCTGATCCAATGAAGGATCCAAATCCTTCATTCTTATTCTTTTCTCACATTCTGCATCATATCTGTTAGCATATCCTGCTGGCTCTACTCTTACAGGCCACTGTAAGAAACTTATCTTTTTAAAACAATTACCCAGAGGACACAGAAAACAACTTTCATTTACATCTCATTGCACGGGACTCAGTCTCATGTCCAAGCCTATGTCCAAGGCAGATCAAGAAATATAAGCCTCATTGTTACCTGAAGACAACTTCAGATTTCTTTTACTTTGGAGTGGAACAGGTCCTTGGAGTCAATCCCATCATATATTCTAAAGGATTCTGAACCTCTTTAGACTGATGTATATATAGGCTGATATTTAAAAAAAAAAAAACTAGCACTGAAGCCAGTTTTCTAAGTACCAGGTATAATACTATGTTGATAATATTGTATATCCAGGATGCCATAAGACACTTACTTCTCTATCTTGTCCAGCCAAGCTTCATACTTATTTCACTCAGGGGTCTGTTTAAAAGAATAGAATGTACTCTAGCTGGCTTATTAAAGGTTCACTGAAAAATCTATTAATGTTTATGAAATGGCTTATGGAATTGTCAGAACAGCTAAAGAAACATAGGTCTAGGTAGACAGACATTCCTCAGAATTAAGCCACAAGGGGAGAAGCTGTGCTCTGTGATCAAGAAGCCAACCTGAAAGCTTAGCAGCCCTGGAGCCACACCACTACTGCTACAATCAGAGAGCTGCCAAAGAAACACCAGTCAGCCCCCCACAGTGTCAGCTGAGAGACAACAGCAGGAACCGCAGAAATACAGGTGTTGTCTTGCCTCCAACTCACAAAAGCATCTGAACCTACGATTAACAAACCTAAGTGACATGCAGAATCTAGATGAAGAGACTCTGAAAGGAGGCTGGATTTCATGAAATGAAAAATCTTACGTAAAAGCCACGATTTGCAAATTTACGTCTATTACAAATGAATCTTGTTTATTTCTGTGGACAGCTAGAACAAGGCAACATGGATAAATGAAGTCTACAGGTAATTGGGAGAAAACCGTTTTAACTAGCATTTAAAAATCTCCTTTCCTTGATCATTTTAGTGGAAGTTATAATGAATAAGTCACAAAGTAAGTTTTGGGTTTCATTTTTGATTCTGCTTCCCTCCCATAGTATACTAATAAGTAGTAAAAGAGCTGAAAGGAAGACAGCTGTCAGGAAGACAAACACAATGCTTATATCACTCATTTACTGGAGAATCAGCCAAGGGAAAACTGAGCTTTGGTGGCATGTTTCCATACTGTGATGTTTATACCAACAATAAAATATTTAAGAATATGGAAAAAGACAGACATGCAAAGAATAAAAAATGTTGAGCCTTTGGAGTAAGGTAGTTCAAAATAAATCTTTAAATAGGCCTTTTAAAGCATAGAGGAAAAATGAGGGACAAAGGCCCTGAAAGGATATTTTCTATGAATCACAGCATTTGATTGAAAATGTTTGCAGTGGAACTAATTTGAGTTCCAGCCCAAAGAACATCAGCCAAATTGGATCTAGCCTATCTTTGCATTTCTATGAGCCTTGACTGGTCATTTTGGCTGGACCATAAATAAGGCAGGTGTTGGGCCTCATGCTAGTTGAACCTTCAGCGTTCTTACCTTATGTGAGACTTGGCTTTCTCCCCTTAGTCCCCTGAGCCTTGGGATTCAGCTGCTTCACCTCTCCGTTTAGCCTCCAGCTATACTTTTTCTTGAGGTTTACCTCCTCCCCCTAAGTTGGCATATAGTTGCCTTCAAATGTTTATTAGGATTGATTAATTACTTAGAGAATGATTGAATAGAACAGCCTCCCAGCCTCACATTTATTTGCTGTTTCCAAAATTAGACACACCAATCTTGAAAATATTAGTGTGTCTTATCCTTATGATAGGTGAGAGAAAGTGACAAGGCTCTAGGCCCTTAGTCAGTCTGCTTCATCACTGTCCCTATTCTCTAATTCCTGAAACTTTGTTTGTTAGCTGATACCTAATAGTGCCTCTCAGCTAGAAACTTCTTTTCTTGATCCTGGATTTTGGGCTGGGCTGCTTAGACTCACCTCCAGCCTGGAGTACATCAGGACTAGCATCAGTATTGAGACTGGCAGTGACAACTTGGAAAAAGACAGTAACTTTTTCCCCTCAGTCCACTGAGTCTTCCCCTGTGCTCCAGACCTGTCCAAACAAAGTTTAGACACTCCTGTCTCACTCACTCCCTAGCACCAGGAACTAGCACCATTGTGGTGGATTATTTTCCAACAATGCCTGTGATAATACTTCCCATTCTGCACACTCTTACAATGTGATTCTGACTCTTCTCCCAGGTTGGGCCTACGTTCCCTTCGTTTGAATCTGTGATTAGGGTAGAAGCAGTGTCATGTGACTTCGGGCCTAGGTCATAAAAGGCGATAGAGCCTTTTCTGGGGTCTCTTGGGTTGCTTGCTCATGGAAGCCCTACTGTGAGACAGCCTAAAGTTGGCCCACTTAGACGCACCACAAGGAAAGGTCAGGTGGAGTGCTCCAGCAGACAGCCCCAGGTGAGGTGCTGGCCACAAGGCATTTCCAAGCAGGAAGTGAAGATACTTCCAGATGATTCCAGACTCTATCCCTTAAGACATCCAAACTTTGACAACCCAACTCCCCCATGGCCTGTGCAAATTCTTAATCCTCACAATCCATGAACTTAATACAATGATTGTTTTATGCCACCAAGTTTAAGGAGCATTTATAATGCAGCAATAGTTACTAGAACAACCATTCATCCATTAAAAAAAAACTTACTGCATTTGTAATACATGTCAGATGTGCATTTTCAGTCCCTATGTGGGACTGCTGGCCATTTCCTGTGGAAATCTGAAAGATCCTTTCCTGGTCTCCAGAGAACTTGCAACTGTCCCTTCCACTCCTCCTAGAAGTCTGTGTCACTTTGGTCCTCAGAAAATCTTCCCCTTGGTCCAGTTCTCACTGTACTATGTGTGTTGTCTGCAGCACAATAGCTGTGTGCTTGCTAAGGTGCCCACACTTCATTGATGCTGGGATTATTCACCTATTATTCTAAATTAAAGTCTAAGCCAAAGCTTCCTGCTGCCATTTGGTTCAGAGGGGGAAACTCTACCCAGGAGCTTATGTGTCCAGCACGTTGCCTCCACAGCAGCTTCTATCTCACCAGCCTTCTTTGGCTACATTTGGGGCATAGTTACAACTACATTATAGGGTTATTTTGAAGGGTCAGTAAGACAAATGTGTTACCTGAAATATTGCCCAGCATACTGTAGGTACTAGTGCCTACCAATTTTTTTGACAGCCCCCTCTTTTGTAGTTCAAAAGGTCTTAAATTCCCAGAGGATGTTCCAGAATATTCTTGTTTCTAATCTGAGAAATATTCTAAATTCAAAGTCCATTTTGAAAGCTAAAATGATTTTCATGGTCTGTGACTGGTATTCAATCTGGATATATATATTTTTTTAATCTGAAGGGTCCACAGTTCATTTTCCCATTCTTACATGATACAGAATAATTTAGTTGATCTTTTTCTGTGATATTTCTAGCTTTCAGATGCTATTTCTTCTCTGAAGGTTCAGAAGTCCACAGACATGTTCTCAGGACCCTGGAAGAATTGTTATTATAGTTGTTATAAAATGGATCTTGATTATTTAAATATAATTTTAAAACAATGGCTTCAAATTCGTGGTCACTAATGTTTGCTGAGGCCATATCAGGGGAGTTTGTGAATCTGTATAGGTCCATCAGATTTTTGACTTGAATAAATGATAGATTGTAAACAGCTTTTCTGTTATCTCCAATATATGTAATACTATTCTAATGATCAATTTATTTTAAAGTGCTATTGAATTCATTTATATCAGTTTTGGCAAAATTGATTTTCCCAACCAATGGCTATGGAAAGCATAATAACTATGATATGGAAATACAGAAAATATTTTCCTTGTAAAATTCCTTTTGCTCAAAAAAGTTCAAGTGTCATTTCCAACCATCTCCTCCTGGCATTGAAGGTGATGGATTCAGGCAGTCACCCTAGGGAACCAAGGGAGATTTTGGAATTACAGCGCCTAATATGAAGATTGCTTAACCATACATAATATTCATAATTTCTACCAAGGAAAAACAAGAGCTATTTCATAACATAGGCCCATTATACTGTAGCAATTCATGGGGAAGGGGGTGTTTCACAGAGTGCAATGGCTATTTTTGCACAGACCTCTGATGTAACAATATATAATGTGATGGCCAAGTAACTGGAGCACATTAATCAGTCTGTGACTGCCACCCAACCTCAAGTTGATTAAGATATTCTTCATAGAAAATATTCATTTCTAATAAAAAAAGGATTACTGTAAGAACAAGTCTTAGCTTCAGAGAGTTTTTATTTCCCCACACTAAACATGGCAAAGAATAATTTAGCTAATCTTTTTCTGTGGTATGTCTGGCTTACTTTTTAAACAGAAGGATTCCTGTTTCCAGAAAATCCATAAATGTCCACTTTTCTTTCAAAAACCAGGGTGACCTCTAATATGATTTCAATTTCACAGAGGGTGGAGGAAGGAGTGGCCAGGGGAATCACGTAAAATTATTGGTTCACTGCCATTATAATGAAAAACATGTGTACAGGGAAATTTCGAGCCATAAATCTCTCAGTGCACATAACTTCTAATTAAAACCTCATAACAGTCTTTTCCAAACAATGAACACAATTTTGAGTTCTAGTTCAATTTCATTATTTCAGAATGGACGTGAGAACTGTGTGTCTGGGAACATGTTGCTAGCATACTGTCACCAGTATAGCAGAAAAGAACATCGTAACTACCCTCTCTCAAGAAAATGTGGGAGGAGGGAGGTTGCTGGCTTTAAAAAACAGTATTTATGGTACAGAATTCATATGCAGTGGGTCTCAAATATCCTGTTTGGTTAGAAAGGCACCGAATTTAGATAACTATGTTGAATAAAAATTATCTGAGCTTTGTCTAGAATACATCTCACAATATATGCTGTTGTGTTGGTCCTGGGGATGGAGAGTATGTGCTGATGAAACCACAGTCCTGCTCTTTGAACCTTGACATCTCACACAGCCCTGTTTGCCCTTTGGCAACACCTTCTGGCTCATCTAAATAGTGTTAACAAATTCCAGGGAGTGAGTACAAGTGTTTTTCCAGAGGGAGACAGATTGCATTAAAAGGAATGAAATAAAGAGTCAATGATTCCAGTTTATGCCAAATTTCAAAAACATTCCATGAACGATGAAGAAAATATTTCCTTTCAGTTAGAATTGTAAGGAAAGAGCAATTATTTGGCCCTTAAACTTGTGTTTGAGGATTGTTTCTTGTCTCAGTTGGACAATATTGATAATGGTGAAAAACATGTTTAATCTATTAGTTTAAATGGAGCACTTACTCTGCCCTAAGGAGTCCTCTTTGAACTCCTTTTCCTTCTCCTGAAAGTCATGGCTAATCAACAGGCATTAATCTCTATTAAAATACAGTAAATCTAAAGGGTGTATTACTTGCCTCTTAACATCAAGTTAATTTATCAACTATGTATACACTCTAATGATAGTAGATAGAAATTGTAAATGGTACTTTTATTGAAGCAAAACAACATTTAACTGTAGGTACTACAGGTGATAAACTTCCAGCACTAGCTCAACTCAAAAACATATGCAACTGCCTGTGTGCCAACTCAAACAGTTTTATTGAATGCACCTGATTTTAAGTCCCCGTTTTAGCATTCCCTTTTAATATTTTAATAAGAACCAGTTATAGCCTAGCTAGCTTGTGCACATGTGTTTAAAATTCAGAAAGTTACATAGGACAAGCTTATCAATTAATAGAAACTCATCAGAAGCAGCATAACATGCATTTAATATTTTTAAAAAAACTTTTAAAATTAACTTGGCCCTTTGTTGTAAATGATTCTCACAATCTGCTTACAACATCTAAGGCCGGGTCTATCAAAGGCTTCCCAAGGCCCTTAATTCAGGACTGGCCTTTATGTTAAAGAGCTCAAGCTGCTGCCTGCAACAAGGACTCCCGGATCTCTACTAAACGAGGGTACCTAAGAGTGATCATTCTTCGCAAACATCTGTAGCCATTGAGTTGCAGACCTGTTCGCAGGGCCGGGAAGCAGGCCATTATGGCCTGGCCCTCTGTGTCCCCTCTCAGCTGCAAGCACACATAAGCGCCAGGTGCAAAACCCTCACTCAAGAGACTATAGATGAGTGTAATGGTCACAGCGATTACGAACTGACAATTATTCCCTCCCTATTGCCTCCTTTCAACCAACTGGTTGCTTCACTGATTATTTTCTCTTTATTGATGAAAATAGTATCTTATGGCTAGGGGCTGATTATATGTTTCTTTCTGGCAAGACTTGTATTTCAAAATTATGTAGCATGTAGTTTGTTAGATTGTACCTATTAGCCACAAATCTGAAGAAATCACCGTATTGAATATTTCACAATGGAAAGTTAGGGGGAGCTATGCAAAATTTATAGTCTCAATATTCCTTTTATTTGTTTTAACTGAAACTCCATATGTGGTCCTCTTGATTTTTTCTTTCAATCTGTTTGTATTGGTTGTATCTTTGTAGAAGTTTTCCTCATTTTCACTGACATAGACTTAAGAAGCTGAGTTATTTTATTTCCGTACACCTACCAAAGCCCACCATTATGCCTGCATTCACAAATGTGGCACAAATTTTATGATACAATAAAATAAGCATTTTTATAGTCATGCACCTTATGGCCAAACACTAATTAAAAATAGGATGGAGCTTTTATTTCCCCCACTAGAGATGTAAGGGCCAAAGTGTTTCAGGAGAACAATGATTTTCATTGCTATGCAACATAGTTATTAAAGGCTGTCTGAACACAAGAGTTTCAAGTGAGTATTGTGCAAGTAATAGGGGCTACTCAGAGATGTTAACTGACATGACTCCCTGCCAAAAATAAGTTCTGTAAAAGAAACTTGAGTTAGATGCTTAAAAATTATATAATTGAAACAGTTGTAAAATGGGCACAATGCTCTCACACAAGTGAATATAAATCTTTTCATCCAGAATCTCAAAAATTACCAACTTGCCAAGTTTTCATTAGTATGGAAAATTCCAAGTCTCATAGAATATTGCAATCAACGAGAGTGACATCTTAAGCAGAATTTGGACATTTCTGGAAATTGTAAAGCCATGAGGGGTAAAATATTGTTTTCCATCTTTTTGTTCTTTCCTTCAAAGGGGAAAGAAAAAAAAGGAAAAAATATCTAGTGGGAATATTAAAATAATGCAAATAGCCAAGTATATTTTCAAGATCTAAGATAACTCTGAATATTACCTATATTATATAGAAATTGGTTTGCTCACAAAATTATCATATTTGTTATATTAACATTTAAAATAAACCTTATCAGGCAGTATAAAAGCTACTATTTGCATTTCTTTCTTTCTTTTTTAATAAATAGAAGCTCATGCTGCAGAACTTAATGGAATCCAGCAATTCTTTCTTACTGAACTTTTTCTGAATATGAGAAGCAGAACAAGACTATAAAGGAGAAGAATCAATATTTTTAAATGTACCCTACTGAGTCACATGACTTCACGAAGCACTTTTGTGTTTTAGAAACAGATTTGAGAAGAAAAGAGGGAGGGATTCAAACTTCATTCTCACTTCTGCTGTATGAAATATTATCTAGAACGCTCCATTGGAATTGTGTATTCCATATGAGAATATTTTGAAGTTTCATTCTTTTTCTCTTACCATGCGGAAATGTTTCCATATGTTAGAAGATGGTCTCACCATGTCACTGAGGGAAATAGATAAAACAAACAACTCTGTGGCCAACTTAAACATATACAACCAAGTAACAAACATCAGGTACAGCCAGCACTCGGGGCTCCTCAGAGTTAACTGTCCCGAGCTCCCCAATTCCCTGGGCTTGGCTCAGGTAAGGCTGGCTTGTGAATTTTCCACATAACACCAGATTATGAGGAATTCCACTAGGAACTATATGTTAAGTGGTAAAAACATCTATTATTGAATAAAATATATATATTTTGAGGATCTAATTCTACCATGATTTAAATGTGTAAGTATTTTCACACACCTATTAGCCTAAGGTTGAGTGTGATTAAAAAGTTGCAAAAGGCACTTTTTTGTTTTTTTTTCTTAATTAAAAACATAGTACATTTTACAAATACCATGTAAGACACTAAGCCAGGAGTACTAAGCTTCTATTTATCATAATATTTGCTCTTTTTTCTGGGTCATTTTCAGCAAACAAAACAATGTTTTTAAAATTCTAACTTCCACAAGAATATACTCTTGCTATACATCTCAGAGGGTTCTAGATCCAAGGTTAGGACACCTATAAGTGCTCTGAATTCTTGCAGCTTCCTTTTATAGTGCAGTGTATCATGTTTAGGCAGAAACACTGGCTACACAATCAAGACCTCCGCTCTAGAGCTGTTAATCATTGCCTATATCTGAAACCATTCATTATTTTATGAAAGTGGCTTCCTAAGGCATGCCTTTTGGACATTTTTGTTCTTTTCTATTACCCTTTCACCCTCTTATTATCTCATTGTGAACCAAACTGGAGATAACATTGAATCTATTCACTGTGTGCAGAGTTGTTTAAAGCAGTACAAACAGTCATCTAAGGGCACCCAAGTGCCTGGCAGGCGATTTTGCAGCTGGACCAATAGAAGCACACCATGCCAACGGAACCTGATATCCAGCACCATCTACTCCCTAGATCAAATTTGGCTACTTCTGCTCCCCAGAACTCCACTCCCTCATAATTGAACAATTACCCTCAACTACTTTTTGAAAGTAGTATATGCCTTGCGTCACATTATTTTTGCTTTTTGCTATCAACCAGAGGATGACCGAGGTGTGGGATGCTAAACACTCTAAAGTATGAAGAACTTCAAAGGGAAATTCTATTTTCATTTGTTTGTTGTAAAAGTGTTCACTGGCTGCTAAGAATGCTAATAATAAGGGAAAAAATTTCCAGAAGTTTTTGGTAAAATTCCAGGTATATAGAGTTAAAGAGATTCAGTTATAGGAGTCAAGTACAGTTCAAAAACAAATATTGTGGCTGTGGGTGTGAGTTAGCTAGCTGGTATTTAAAGAGACAGTGTTAAGTGGTAACTCTTCAGTTTAACCTCTCTTAACCTCTTCACTATGTGACTTGCAGTTTTCTTAGTCATAATGTTGTCACAGTGTATTTTTCCTTTAAAGTCTCAAACCCAGATGCATAATTATATTATACTACCTTCTCTCTCCACCCTAGAAGCACCCACACCATACCCTATTTATGAAAAACAGAATAATTACTTTGCTTACTTTTTTTTTTTTTTGTCCCTATCTGGGATGTCTGGAACTCTATTCAAACTAGTCGTGTGTCTTTTTTTTTAACATACTCCCATTGTTTCTTTGATCCCTTCCTTTATTTTGCTTACTTTTTAGCTAGCTTGATGCCATCAGTTTTTACATTTACTCTGGAAATTCAATTTTTTAGATTCCCAAGATTTTAATTTTTCTGAAAAAAGATGCATTAGTAAGGTCCTTGTTTAATACAAATTTGAATTTTATCCTTTATTTGTTGGTGATCAACATTAGAATGAACTTAAAAGCTGAGATTCTGGTGTTGTGGACATCTGCACCACTGTCGGGCCAGCATCCCACTTCTCTTAGAGTTGCTCCCTCCCCACTTCCAACCAGGTGCTGTCCAAAGAAAAGCAGTGATGATCTCACAGGACACTACACAGCCACCTCAAACACAGGACCACTGTGAATTAGTTCAAAAATGGGCACCTGACCCAAAATGGCCAAGCAGATTTCTTCCTCAAGCCTTTTGAGCTGAATCCAATAGTGAGTTGGTCTGTCTCTAGTGGGCTACACAATGAGAAACTCAATAGTTTTTAGTGATCATGAGTATCATGTTCTGCAGAGAAGCATGATTAGCCATTAGAAGTGATAAAAGTAACAGCAGAGAAATAAAAAGGTGAGAGATATAATAAAAGACACCCTCAGCATTCACACCCCTGGTTCCAGTTGTTCCTAAGACCCAGTCATGTCTTTACACTTCTTGTGGTTTTTAGCTCTTCAACCTTTCCCTTCAATAAATCTCTCTGCCTATCTGAGCTACTTCGGAGAACCTTCTGTCACTTAGAACTAAAATAAACAGAACTAATACATTTGTGTTAAATCCTAAGTAATATTTTTTTGACATTCCTAACACAGTTCCTAGCATGCAATGGGTATTTAGTGACTCTCTCTTCTTTAAATAGTTTTATTGAAATACAGCTGATATTCAATATTATATTGGTTTCAGATATACATATAATTCAACAATTACATACATTACTAAATGCTTATCTCAGTAAGTATAGTTATCTGTCAACACACAAATAAATTGCAATATTATTGGCTATATACCTTATACTACATTTCCATCTTCATAACTAATTTATTGAATTTTCTCTTTCTTTATCCCCTTCACCTATTCACCCAACCCCCCGACTCCCCTCCTTTGTGGAAACCACCAGCCTGTTCTCTGTGTTTATGAGTCTATTTCTGTTTTGTTTGTTTGTTTGGTCTTTTTAGATTTCACTTCTAAGTGAAATCATACAGTATTTGTCTTTCTCTGACTTATTTCACTTGGCATAATGCACTCTAGGTCCATCCATGTTATTGCAAATGGCAAGCTTTCATTCTTTTTTTATGGCTTAGCAATATTCCATAGTGTATATATATGTATATGTATATAAATATACATATACATATATATACACATATATGTGTGTGTGTATACACATATACTATTTTTTAATCCATTCATCTATCAATGGACACTTATCTCCCTCCCCTTCCCCCGGAATCCAACTCCTTCCCCATGGTAATGACCAGTCACTTCTCAGTGTCTATTAGTCTACTGCTGTTTTGTTTTGTTTTTTTTTTTAGATTCCACAAATAAGTGAAATCATATGGTATTTGTCTTTCTCCACCTGGCTTATTTCTCTTAGTGCAATACCCTCTAGGTCCATCCATATTGTTGCAAATGGCAGGATTTCTTTTCTTTAATAGCTGAATAATACCCCATCATGTATATGTACTGCATCTTTATCCATTCTCTGTTGATGGACACTTTGGTTACTTCCATATCTTGGCCATTGTAAATAACGTGGCAATTAACATAAGGGTGCATATATCTTTTTGAATTAGTGATGTTGTTATCCTTGAGTAAATTCCTGGAAGTGGGATTGTGGGGCCATATTATATTCCCACCAACAGTGTGCAAGTTTCCCTTTTCTCCACACTCTCACCAACAATTGTTATTTCTTGTTTGTTTGTTTGTTTTTGTACTACCCATTCTAAGTAATAAAGATTCTGAAAATAAGATTATGACTAAAATGGAAACTGAAAAACTTGACATTGATATTTATTGTCATTTACTCTTAGGCACTATAATAAAGGGAAAGGCTGCGAACAAAGCCTAGAATTTCCAAGTAGTCCAGCCCATTTTGCCCTCATCTTCTAAATTCTGTATCATTATATTAAGGATCAATAAATCAGCAATTATTTGGTATTTTCTATTTTGTCAACACTGGCAGGGATATAAGAGAACAAAATATGTCCTCTTTGATTTGCCTTATGTTACTCACTTAGTAAGGACTTACTGCCTTAATAGTTTGGCTAAAGTCACATGGATAGTAAATTTAAATTTAAGCCAACATTTAAGTATAGGGATTATTTCAGAGTCTAGTTTTTTGAAAAACTACCAAGTAAGCATTGTCCCTTTCTAACCAAGAATATTTCTTTCCCTTCCACCTCAATATTTTATTTTGACCATGTCTCAAAGTTGAAAGAATAGGACAATGAAAAATCAATGTACCTTTCATCTAGATTCAACAATTATGGTGTATTTGCTCATTCTCTTGATAGATAGATAGATAGATGATAGATATATATAGACAGATAGATAGATAGATAGATAGATAGATAGATAGATAGATAGATAGATAGGTAGATAGATAGATAGATAGATAGATAGATAGATAGATAGATAGATAGATAGATAGATAGATAGATATAGACAGATAGATAGTAGATGCTAAGCCATTTGAAAGGTAGGTGCAGATATAATACTTCACCCCTAAAAATTCAGTGTGTATCTCTGAAGAATCTAAGCTGAACAGATTCCCTTCACTGACTGTTTTGCCTTTCTTAGCATTTACACTTATGAGAGTTCTAGGATATTGTCTTCTAAAGTGCCCTACAGTCTGGGTTTATGTGCTCATTTCTTCATGATTAGATTCAGATTAAACATTTTTGATAAGAATACAGCATGGGTGGTATTGAATGCTTTCTCCTGCATCACTGCAGGAGGCAGTGATCGTGGTGATGCTCAATTTGATCACATGGTTAATGTAGTTTCTGTCAGCTACCCATTCAAAGGTACATTTATTTCTTTATAAGTAATAAGTCACTTTAGCATCAATTGCTAATCCTTACCTCAATGATTATGCTGATGATTTTAAAATAGTAATTTTCTAATTGTATTCCACATTTTACTAACTAGAATATTTCTGCAGAGAGGAGTTTCTGTCCCTGACTTCTCACCTTTTTTTGACTGTCATAATAGATTCATGGGTTACTTCTTACTGAATATGTTATGAACCCCTGTTACTATTATTCATTTTGACAATTGAATTATTCCAAATTTGGTCAGTGGAATACCCCATTAAGCCAATTCATGTGTCCTTTTGATATGTTTCCCATTACTTTGTGAGCATTTTCTTTCTTTTATAGCACAAAAGTTTCTAGGTTCACCTTGTGCCTCCCCATCCCACACCTGGAATCAGCCCTTTTTCTTTTTACTGGGGAATGGTATTAGACATCAAGATATAGATGCTAGATGTGCTCATTGCTTCTGGGGTGTCATTCCTTCAGGTGCTTTCAGTGGACTGAACTGTGAAATGAATTTTTAAAAATAAGTTGGTACTTACATCTCCAATTCAAATCCTTCACCCCAGGGTTTTTCATTTTTCCATGACATATTTGTGTTATCTTCCCAGATCTTTGGTTGTTGATAAATCAGTGTTATTTATTCATTTGCTTCCTTCTATAATACATGTAAAACAAATTAACAACTTCAATGCCAACAACAAACCTGCTAAATCCAAGTTTTCTTTGCAGTTCTTATCTTAGAACACATACTACTAACATTACAGAGCTAGATTCTACTGTGTATCCTGGCTGACCATGCCCTCTTTTTGAGATGCAGTTGGGTTCACATGTCCATCACCATCCTTTGACATCATGGCTTCCTCATTCTTGAATTCCAAACTTTCATCTACCTTTATTTTGGCTAAATTATGTAGCCAAAATAGCTTTTTTCAGGGTGATTATACTTTCTGATACCTTACCATATCTCTGAATTCTTTCTGCTTTCTTTATGCATAAGTGAAAACTTGCATCTCATCATCCATTTATTAAGTTTATTCCAATATGCTATAAATCTGACACTTTGGTAAGTTGAATTCTATCCTGTTGTTTTTCTGATTATAATAATAGATATTAGTGTATTTGTTTTGGAAAAGGTCACATTATTAAATCATCTTATAGTTCAAATAGGTTTAATTTATTTTTCTTTTTTTTACTTTCCTAAAAGATAATATATCATCTGAAAATACAGAAGCTCCCCTACATAAGAATAGGTTCACTTCCAAAAAGTTGTTCACTAGCTCCAATGTTTGTTAGTCTAAACTAACAGCATATGAACAGGTGTTAGCAACACCCAGTGATGGCAAGAAGAGTTGATGTACTTTTCTTCAGGTGTATTCAAACCAGTTAACACATATGAAGGGGATAAAGAGATACAAATTTCAAATGACAAATTAGTCATCAGAATGAAAGTATAGCATAGAAATATAGTCAATAATACTATAATCTTTGTATGATGACAGATGGTAACTGCATGATGTGGTGAGCATTTAGTAGTATATCTAATTGTCAAATCACTGTTATACATCTGAAATCAATATAATATTGTATTTCAACTCTATTTCAATAAAATCAAATAAAATCAGTTAACATGTATAGCACTAAGTTTAAATACATGTTATATCTGCAGAAACAAAATCAAATGTAAATGCTAGTAATAAATTTTGAGAGGAATGCAAGATAAAATTAGGTTAATTATTTAGCTACAATTGCCAGTGTCTTTAATAAATTAAACACTGACAAACTACTAGAGTTAGGAAGAATAGCAAAATAGAAGCAAGCTAAATAATTTCCCAAACATTACAGGTATATTCTTGAATTTGGCTGCTAAAGAAATATAGGCTTAAAATCCTTTATCTTTCAGATCATTGTCAAGTATCAATAAAATGTGTTTTTGCTGTTTTGCTTAAGAATATTCAACTATGCTGCAGAAAAATACAAGCAAAAGTAATGGATGAATGAAACCCATAAGAAGGATTAAGCACAGTCATTAAGGAGGCAGTTTATAAGATATAGATGAAACTCACAGGATGCATTAATTGTAGATAATGAGTAAGCAGGAAGCTGGAGAGACATAGTATGCACAAGATTGATTAAATATAGAATAAGTTAGTAACCTCTAAGACATGTTAAAAATACACAAAGTAAATGGATCATATGCTAGAACACACAAAAATGATACTTACAGTTAGAAAGGAATGGAAAACTAAGTAATAAATAATAGCTCTTGTCATCTCTATGCTGACAGCTATGTCAGCTACAAACTGGCTGCCCAGTGGTACCACCAATCATGGTCTCACTCTGGCCTTACACGGGCTTCATTCAAGAAATTCAGATAAAAATCATTTGAAATTTGTATCTATTTATCCCCTTCATGTGTGTTAATTGGTTTGAATACACCTGAAGAAAAGTACATTCTTGTGTGTTCTAGTGCTGTTCAGTAGGCTAACTGGAAAGTCACAGCAGACATCAGGCATATTTACCTGCTTCTCTGATGTAGCAAGTGAGTGTGTTGACCCTTGTTAATTTCCATTTGCTGGGCTTCTTCGTAATCACACCAGCAGCTGGGAGGACATAGGCGTCAAAAAGGGACCAGTAATCAGGCAGTATGACCTTTCCACACTGCTTGCACTCTATCCTAAATGTGTTAGCCTGTCCTTTCTCTCACTTACACTTCTCCCTATATGTTTTAAAATGATTTAAGAAACAATGTGATTTGAGAATTTTACTTTGGTCTGTGAGTTTTTCTGTTCCATGATTGTTAGGATAGTTTGCCTGGCTCATATATTTGGAGGTATTGCTGCCCAAGGGTAATTTCCCATGTGACAGCAAAAGTAAGAACAAATATATTAATCCATATAATTATTTTAAATCATTTAAAAGACAAAGTCTAAACCAAGTTCAATTAAAATAATTTAATCATTCCCTTAATAAGACAAACAAGTTATCATAGAAAGTTAAAAGTAAATGCTTGGGCAAACATAAATCAAGCAAATATCAACCAAAGAAAGCACAATTGTAACCTGGATAATAAACTCAAGTATTAGCGAACTGACTTCAAGAAATGAGTAGCTCTCAAATCCTTTATCGTGTCTCCTAAATTGTTCTGTGAGAAAAGAATGGAGTTACATTGAATGTGTCCAGGGTTACACATAATTTGCTGTTTTCTCCAGGCAGTGGCCAGTAGCAAGCAATTCTTTCCAATGGAAGGAATGCCTGCCTTCAAAATGCCACCTCTTTTGCACTGGAAAAACATGTAAGTTTAATCCAACTGAATTTTAGAAGAATCAGAGAAATGCAAGAATATTTTAATATCAGGAAGCTTAATAACATTATAAATCAGCTGGCAACACGAGTAGATAAACCCACCAGGTGAAACTTTTCGTAGAAACAACAGAAAGTTACCTGATGAAAATATAAGACACATACTTGATTTAGAAAATAAAAACTTATAAAAAAATCTAGGATCAAAACTTTTGGTAAGTGTATCGAGTAGAACTTTTCTTATTGCTCCAGAATTAGTGATGATCAAAGTCTCAACTGAAAATACAGCACAAAGTACCCACATTTGAATGAGAACCATGGCAATTGGGGCCAGACAAGCCCCCGACACACCTCCTTTACTAAGAGGTGGAAAAATCCACCTGACTGAAATCAAACATCATAACCCCACCTCACCCTAACCCCAAAGTCAGCCTAAGGGAAGGCCAGGACAGAGAGAAAGGTCGTTTGGATCATCAGCTTAATGGAGTGCATGAAAAGAGACTGCCTTTCTCCTCCGGAAGGCGGAGCCCTGAGGTAGAATCATAGGTACCATACAGATACCAAGTCTCCAGAAACAGATGGACCCTCACTTAGCCTCAGTGAGGTCTGGGAATCCTCCCTAGATACCTTGCTCAGAGTGGGCATTCTATTTTTCTTAAATAATAAATGAATGACCAGACTACCAAATCACTTTCTGATACACCTTTTATAGGACTTTCATTTCAATACATTAAATTTTGTGTTTACTTCATATCTCTTCTCCTACTTTATAATTTTCTTGAGACTTTGACCAGTTTCTAATCTATTACTGTATCCCTGATAAATATTTTAAATGAGTGTTTTGACAGGGATATTAAAAAGTGTTCCTGAATGAATAAATAGATGAACAGATCAATATTGTATCAAATAGCTAACAAATTTGCCTGTTCAACTTCTACTAAACACTGGCCCCACATTCCAAACTCAGAACTGATACTGCAATTAATACTCTTGGTTTTATCTTTTAATCCTAGTATAAAATTTCAGATAAAAGATCACTACTTCCAAATGACAATAATGCCCCCCTAAGGCCTCCCTAGGACCCATATCTCTTTTAAGATGTTGTCTTATCCCTCCCCAGCCTTAATTGTCAATTTCTTGAGGAGTTGTCTACAGTTAGATGAAGTGGTGACATTTACTGTGATAGCAAAACAAACAAACAAAAAAAATAAGTTGTAGGGGGAGATCATACATTCATTGGATGTGTTGGATCTGAGATACCTATGCAACATACAGAGGGAAATGCCAAGTGGGCTGCTATGTAGTTAGCTTATTCTCCCAATTCTTCACTCATTCTCAATACACCCATAAACCTGGGCCAATTCTTGCCCTATCCTTATTTCCACTCGAACTGCTACATAACAGGCATCAAGTAAGTGTTCACTAAATAAGATAGATTAACTTAACATTAGTCATTATCCCCTCTTCTAATATCTTATTATTGTTTTCCCTTTTTGGGGGTTATTTTCTCCTTACCTTCCTTCTTTTCTTTTTTTCCTCTTTCTTCCTCCTTCACTGTGTATTTATCTGAGCATCTATTTTATGTCAGAGACCACACTGAGTTTCAAGAATATAGTTTTAGCATGAACAGGTAGTTTCTTTCTCAGAACTTACAATATGGGGCTAGAGATGGGCACTCATTAAATAAGCCCACAAATAAGAATTATAATGACCAATGCTGGTGAGTGGCATGGGGCAAGAGCCCACGGTATGTGACATCAAGCAGGGCTGATGCATCCTAGCCTGGGCCAAGGGTAAAGGGGAGGTTCCCCGATGCCATGGGCTGAGAGCTGAAGGAGCACCAACTTGAACTTGGGGCCGAAGGGCAAGAGCCACGGGGACCCTGGTCAGAGGACCAGAGGCTGGAGGGAGGGGCTCCTGGTGTTCAAGGCCCTGAGAGGCAGGTGAGGGTGATGAGCAGAGGAGAGGCAAGTGTGCTGCTGCCTGTTTCTATCCAGTTATTTAGCTTTTTCTTTTTTTTTTTCTTTTGATTTTCATTTTTGGTATGTTCTTTTATCTTTTTTATTTTATTTTATTTTTATTTTAAATAGCCAAGTATTGGATAACCAAGATAAGAGCAATGCTTTGAATTACCTTCCCAAAATGTAGATGTATAACTAAATGAAAATTTGGGAAATACTGGGAGTTGGAAAAGAGCTCAAGGGGATTTACAGTCTTAAAGGCTGAAATATTTGAAATATTTAAATAATTTATCCCTTAAAGAGAAACAATTTAAAATACCCAGTATATATTTAGTGAGAATGCATAGTAATTTAGTGAAGGAAAACTTAAAAACCTCTATGTTTTCAGTCTCTTCAGATAGACTGCCCACTGTGTGCCATTAGCTACCATGGAGCTTTTGATGATTAGGCAGATTTTACTTTGACTCCTAGCATAGATGGTTCAATTTATACCCATAGTGGACTATTGATATATATAAGAATTGTAAGAAACTCATGTTCAAATATAGAACATTAATGAAGACATATAATAATAAAATTTCTGCACAATTACCCCAATAGACTATTCATTAGATCTGTAAAAGGTTAATCACCTAATCAAATTCTTTACATCAAATTGTCTCCAGTATTTCAGAAATAGGATTAAAAAGTAAATATAGTGATGAATATATCTAAATTGACCTTCCATTTATTGTAAGTAAAAATGATATATATGTACAGTATATAATTTATGGATAGGTGCTTACAAATACCACATTTGCATACATTAATCTTTTTTTTAATTTAACTTTAAGAAATGTTTTAACCTTTAAAAAATTTTAATTTTTAAAATTTTGTACAAATTTCTATAACTAAAAATTTTTTAATGTATGAAAATAAATCAATCACTCAATTAAAGTTTATGGCAGAAATTTCAAAGACGTCATAAGAGCAGTTTTTGTCTATTTTGGATGCTGAAATATGTCAATTATATTTCAGTCTACTTTTTAAAAAAAATGTGTTAAGTCACTAAATTCTAAGTGATGTCATGTTATGTTTGTTATGTCACTCTTTCATATTTAAATAAAACTAAATTGCATGGGTCACTTGAAAATGGATAAATTTTGAAATTTACTTTTAGAATGTTATTAAATATTAAATAAATTTATAAATAAAATTTTAATGTGATGATATAATTTTTTTTACCTAGATTAGTTTCTTTATAAATCACTTACTAAAAATGGTGAAATGATTATGAAATTACATAAAGCAGGTCTGTGAGGTTATATATTACAGTAAAAGGAATTGATTAATCAAAAATGTTTGGAAACTGTTTTAATCTGCTTTAATTATTTCCAAAGTAGTTTGAATACATGTAGTAGATGTATTGTTCAAGGAACAAACACAGCTTCTGGGCACACATTACTACTTGTTTTCTTACCATGATTTGTCTTATCTGGTATTAATATTTTACAGTTAAAGTGTTAATACACACATGCATATACACCCACACTTAGGCGATCAGTGAAACTTACATTTACAGGTCTCCCCAGTAAATTGCATATGCACCTTAGTAAATAAAAATAACATCTTAGGTTTTTTAAGGGAAGAAGAATCCAGGAAATCTTTGAAAACCTAGAACAACCATAGAACTGATTTATGCTCCAGATATTCAAGCTGACAAGGTCAAAGTCAGCCTTGATTGGCATTTATGTATTTCAAATGTGTATAGTTTTATTTATTTCAAAATGTATATAATTTTAACTAAGTCCTTAATTATTTTAGATGGAAGTATGCAAACAAAATTATTTTCCTACAACAAAACCACAGGGATTTAGCTTAGCTCCCTGAGGTCTGTACAAATCACTTAATCCCTTTCCTCAGTTTCTGGTTGGGAATTACATCTCTACTAAATAAGAGATGGAGTGATCAAATACTCCATCTTTAATGAGCTTTGAAGTTCAGTAATACGGATGTACTGGTTGGCGAGCAGCACTGCAATCTCACTGCGTTTCATGACTTTCCTGATTCAGGGTTTCCACTGATGTGAGCCCGCAACAAAGCGCTCCCAGTGCATGTGTCTCAAACTGCTGTTTTAGTAGCCGCTTGTGTTTATATACAAAACCTCCACTTGTGGGTAAATTAGTGTGAACTGTTATTATTTGATATTTTTCAACTTTTCCATTCTTTTAACTTACCTTCAGAGTGAACAGAATTATTTCGTGAACACAGGTCAGAAGTGTTCTTAATGCACACATACTAATTGGAAAACAATTCTTATTTCACAGACTTAATTTTGACAACAAACACACACAAAACTGTGGGATTTTATAGCCTGCCAAATGAATAAGTCATTAAAAGGGCTGATATTTAAAATATGTATACATGATGAGATCAAATATTGCCAAATCGATGTGACTTCCTGAAATCCAGTAAAAATGAGACTAGGAAGACTATTTCATTGACATACATTAGAAGAAGTAACGTAATAAAATAAGACATATCTCTCTTTTCTTTTCCTTGTCAATTTTCATTTCAGAATGATGTGAAGGCTTATGTCCCAAACTGGAACTAAGAAACACCTCTTTATTACTATTGAGGTTTAAGTAATTTGCCAGACCTTCTGCAGAACTCACACAATGTCTTTATCTGCAAAAAAATGATGTAAATCTTATAAAATGAGTTTGTCACACAAATAAGGACTTATTTGAAATATTAATCTATTCAAAATACTATTGCTTTTCCATTCCTACATCACATTTACTCTGAAAATTTTTAACTAACTAAAATTAAAATTGCTTTTAGTTAGAATATGAACATAGAGAAATGACAGTACAATAATATGTATGATATTGAATGCATTCCACATAGAAAAATGGAATCCACTCACATCAGTGTAATCTTATTAGGAAACAACACATGTATTCAAGTGGTACAGTATCAAATAGTTTTACAGCTCTTGCTTTGTAAATTATTAGGTGTTTATTATTTGCTAAAGGCCTAAACTATGAATTGCTTTTAGAAACCACATAATACATTTTAATATAAATTATGGTCATAAATATTGATCAAAAATAGTTTCAGAAAAGTCTAGACCATTAGAAGCACCTTTGGTGAATAATAAAGATTGGGTAAACAGTGGAGAAAGTATAACTGTTTGCTAAGCACCTACTATGTGCTTCCCACATAGTAAAACCGCTGATTTCTAACCTTCTGTTTCTGCCTCATTCCCAATTTTGTTCTTTATTCCCCTTTTCTCCTATAGATAAAAAACAAAGTCAAGTCAATCCCATTCTCAGATTCCAGGATAGCCCTTCATAAATCTAAGGAGCCAGTGCACCCATAATTGCCCTACTACCTATTATTGGGTAAAGCATGGGAATATCATTGTAGCCCAATTAAACTAACTAAAAGGATTTATAAGCCCTGAAAAGGAAAGATTTTCTCTTCCTCCCTCTTAACATCAATGAAAATGAGGCCTGTTTTTGCCTGGGCTCCCACCACCCCAAAGTTAGGAGGGAAACCAGCCAGAGCCTGAACTTGAGATCTTAAATTTCATTATTTGTATGAATTTTCTATTCACAATTAATAAACATATTTATCATCAATTTGTCAGACACTTCATATATACAATTTCTAATCACCAAGTTAACATCCGTGAAATGAGAATAACTGTCTTGAGGCAAAATACAAAGTATGGAGATTTTCCAAAATCAGCAAGTGACAAGAAAAAGATGAGCGAAGAGCTCCCTACAAATACCCTGTTTGTGCCTCAGATGTGTACCCAGAACTCTCTGGCAGTCCTGTAGACCTAAGCATTGAGTCAGGTGGTAAAAACCAACAAAATCTGTGTCTTAAATGGTTAGCGATTATGAGGACCATTGTTCTTCAACCTCCCTCAGTGGTGGCGAACAGCAACACGGTCAGTCAGGCCCTTGCGCCATACATACCTCAGAAAGAAACTAATAAAAAAAAAAGCAACATAAATTTTAAACCAGAGCTAAAGGCACAGTTTCATTGTGAACTATGGTTCATATTCCAATTCAATAAAAGGATAATTTTGCAAGTATTCATTGTCTATTAACAAGCTTGGACTTGAAATTAACTTTAAAATGAAAAAAATCATAGGAGCAAAGTGTCTAGTTGCACAGTAGTACACAGAACGAATCTAGAGAAGGTATATGGACTATTTACATTTTGTTTCTATGACAGAATTCTTTTATCCTTTACAGCTTTATGGATGAGCAAGTTGTTCTTTAAAGAACATTTTAAAAGTTTGAAGATGATGATTTAAAAAAAAACCTTTAAAATCTCCACTCATTTCCATTCTATTCTTATTATCATATTCCATCTTGAGATCCTAGAAACCATAATTACCAAGTAAACCAATTCACATTCACCCTGTATAAAGTAAAAAAGGAACGTGATAGAGGGAAATACACACACACACACACACACACACACACACATACACACGCACACACACACATGCACACATGCACACACGTTCATCAAACCAAGGAAGAAAATATGACACTGTACCTTCATTCCCTAATAGTCATGAAGACATATCTCATATTTTATAATTTTATAAAATTCTTCCTCCATTACTCATTCCATGTTCTTTGTCTGTAAAATATATTCCTTGTTCACAATCAGTGTCAAGTGATCACAAAGTTTCTTGCTCATTTGCTGTCTTATTCACCAAGACATTAAGATAAGCAATGATTTTAAAGCCAAAAGTACAGCAAGCAGGAAAAACAGGTGCATGCCTAAAATATGCATTTATTCTACTGAATACAATTCCTCCAAAGAGAATGCATCTAATATAATCCATCTCATGCCAGAATATGATACCCTACTCAGGACTCATCTTTGATATTTGTGACTGACAGATTACGCATTAACAGTAGTAGCTTGATCAGCCTTCATAAGAGAGACTTCAAATTCTTAAGTCCCTCTCCTCACCACCACAACCACCCTGTTCATGAGCTGTAAGGTAGCTGGAAAAAAGACTACACTCACAGAGCAGGTCATTTTTTGCACCAGATTACTGAGAACCTCTTCTACCAGGAAGCCTTACGATGAATACTCATTTGGAACACAAAAATGCACTCACTCTAAGGAGCCTATGTACATACCTTTTCTTCAAAAATTCTTTTCACCAATTTTCTGATGGTGTTCTCCCCAAGTCCCTGACCATCTGCCCAAATGAATAATCACTACCCGGGAACCAGTGGAGCTTCAAACCGAAAGCAGAAGCTTCTAGGCAAGTGGAGAAGCAGATGACGCTTTCAGTATCTTTATTTAGAGGCTTTTGCTTGCCCAATATTCCTCAGAGCCAGGATGGGCACTCTAATGCTGCAGCAGTCTAGTTCTATCTCATGCTGGAATGCCATGCACGACTAGTCACCTGCCCTAGGGTACTCCCTGTGGGGCCTGCCTATAGACTGAAAGATAACAAAGGAGTATGTGCCTGGTACTGTGAGCCACTGTTCTTAGAAGGAATTTGTCTTTAAGACCTGTTCTTGCCACTGGATGGAGTGTTGCCATGCAGACCATACAAGTTGACAATTTATTGTCCACTGAAATCAGAAGACCTCATGCACTTTTTACCATATGACTCAGACAAATATCTAAAAATTAATAAATTTTGGATAGCTCACACAGTTTGGTCTATTATGCAGTCAGAACTTCTTATTCTACTAAAAATAATAGTTTTTCACTTAATAAGATAATCTATAGTTTAGCCTACTAGTTCTTATTGCCTTTATTCAATTATAACATTTCCATCAAATATATTATTACCTCTTTAAAACAGTCTTCTTATCTAGGCTTTTTTAATTGTTTTTTGAAACAGATTATTTTTATGTAGGTTATATGTTACATCTTCATTCAAATTCATTTATTTTTATTCCTGCCATTGCATTCTCCTCTTTATCATTTTTGTGCTCTGATCAGATACTATTCAGAATCTGCCAAGAGCTGGTTTTGTGTTAAGTATTCTCATTGATATTGATTTGATTTTAGCAATTCAGCTACTTAAATAGCACTTGAAGATTGTCTGAAATAGCACTTCATCTGATACAAAGTACATGATCTCAGTTTAGATTCACAGTAAGTCTAGGAGGTGAGGAAAGCAGGGAAGGTATTCTTTCTTTCACCAATTTTCTCTGTTTTTTTAAACTTATTTTATTAATAGGCTATTTTTAAGAGCAGTTTAGGTTTACAGAAAGTACAGAGTTCACATACCCTGCTCTTCCACATACTCTGTCCCCTATTACTGACATTCTACATTAATATGGTATATTTGTTATGACTGAGGAATCAATATCAAGACATTATAATTAACTGAAGTCCATAACTTACATTAAGTCTCATGCTATGTGTTGTACAGCTCTGTGGGTTTTGACAAATGCATAATGGTTTCTATCTCAGTCAGCTCAGGCTGCCATAACAAAATACCATAGACTGAGTGGATTAAACAAAAAAATGTATTTTCTCCCAGTCTGGAGGCTGAAAGTCCAAGATCAGGGTGCCATGGTCAGTTTCTGGTGATGTTCTCTTCTGGGTTGCAGATAGCCACCCCTCACTGTCCTCTCATGGTGGTGTCTCTTCTTATAAGAACACTAATCCTATCAGAACAGAGCCCACGCTTAGGACCTCGTTTTACCTTATTTATTTCCTTATAAGCCTTATCTGCAAATGCATCACATTAAGGGGGTTACGACTTCAACATTTGAATTTTGAGTGGGGCACAAACATTCAGACCATAGCATCATGTAGCCACCACTACAGTATCATACAGAATAGTTTCATCAACCTGAAAATCCTGTGTGCTGCCTATTCATCCGTCCCTCTCCACCAAACCCTGACAATTGCCATTCTTATTACTTTCTCCATAGTTTTTCCTTTCCCATGTGAAACTTGCTTTTTTCACTTAGTAATATACTGTTAAGCTTCCTCCATGTCTTTTTGGAGCTTGGTAGCTCATTTCCTTTTAGGACAGAATAGTATTGCATAATCTGGAAGTACCACAGTTCATTTATTCTTTCACTTACTGAAGGACATCTTGGCTATTTGTGATTTTTGGTGATTATGAATAAAGTGCCATAAATATTTGTGTGTCAGCTTTAGTGATCTGAGTAAACACCTGAAAGCATAACTGCTAGGTCAAATGGTAAGACTATGTTAAACTTTCTAAGAAACTGCCAAACTGCCTTCCACAATGCCTGTACCATTTTGCATTCTGAACATCGAGTAAGATTTCCTGTTGCTCCACATCCGCAGTAGCATTTGGCATAATTTTTTTGTATATTAGCCATTCTGATAGGTGTGTAGTGGTATTTCATTATTTTCATTTGCAATTCCTTAATGAGCTATGATGTTAAGCACCTTTTCATATACTACTTGTTATGTCTGCATCGTCTTTGGTGAGTTGTGTAATTCAA